TCAGGTAGGCGGCTGAGTATCAGCCTCGCCTAGGGTAGGCCCTGGCGCTCGGCTCTGGTTGACTAGGATCATAGAATCCTGGTGCTTGACTCCACACCCGGATTCTGCCACTTATCTGACAGGGGTAAAACGCTCTATCGGACCATAATTTCGTTGGGACCATAATTCCGTTTGGTATAATGAGTAGGGCGTTCAGCCCGTTACAGGTCTAAGCAACGACCTTTGTTCCCCAGCCTCCACCACCAGGCGTCTTTATGATGATTCGGTCTCCCTTTTCGAATGAAACAGTCGCTTTGCCTCCTAGGCTAATCTGACTTCCGTCATTCCGCACCCAAATGTTTTGTCCCATGGCACCATGTCCACCACCAGCCGCGCCCTTAGGTGCTCGGGTTCGCCGTTCCGACAGGATAGACACTTGTACTCCAGGGATCAAGAACTCAATATCGCGAATAATGCCATCACCACCATGGTGCTGACCTTCACCACCAGAACCTTTACGGATGCTGAATTCTCTCAACAGCACTGGATATCTCTTCTCGAAGACCTCGGGATCTGTAATTCGAGTGTTTGTCATGTGTGTGTGAACTCCGCTCGAGCCATCCCAAGATGGTCCGGCGCCAGCTCCTCCGCCGATAGTTTCGTAATACCCAAATCCTTTCTCGATGACCTCTTCTCCTTTTTTATTGATCCTCTTTCCACCAATACCGAACGTAAGGTTGTTCATACATCCGGAACTATCGGCAGTTGCTTTGAACGCTGAGAGAATCACATCAGTGATGCGCTGGGATGTCAAGACGTTACCACCAACAACGGATGCGTTCAGGCTTGGTGATAAAATTGACGAGTCGGGTATCTTGACTGTGATCGGATTGAGACAGCCCTGATTCAAAGGAATGTCTGACCCGACAAGAGATCGAATACAGTAGAGAATAGCTGAATGTGTGATGGCGCGAGGTGCGTTTGTGTTGCCGTATACTTGAGGTCCTGTGCCGGCGAAGTCGAAGACGGCAGAACCGGTCTCTCCATCGACTTCAATAGACAATGATATGGGCGTGCCATCATCCATGTAATCTGTACAATTAAGGGCCGAGGAAGGCATTGATGCATGCATGTTCTTCAACAATGAGCGGACTGCATTTTCGGCGTTTTCCCTGTCGTGAATGATTAGCTTCTGGGTATACAAAAACTTTCGTGGGGTGTAGAAGTGGCTTACTGGATTGCATACATGTACCGATGGACCTTTGGCAATGTGTACTCTTGAATTAATATTTGGATCAAGTTGATACCCTGCTTGTTGGCAGCAACCTGAGCTTTCAGATCAGACAGGTTATCGCTCAAAGTACGGGTGCCAGAGCTGCCTTGCTGTTTGGCGGGTTCATGTAATAAGATCTCGATGATACGATCCTCGTTGAATTGACCCTTGGAAACAAGCTTTTCACCCAATATCGCAGCGCCTTCTTCGTAAAGCCATTTCGAGTCTGGAGGCATCGAACCAGGCCTTGTGCCACCAATGTCAGCATGATGTCCTCTTGAGGCGACAAAGAATACGATTTCTCCACCGTCAAACACAGGAGTCACAATGGTGATGTCAGGAAGATGAGTCCCACCGCTTGCTGGGTGGTTTGAAATCAGCACATCACCCTCTTCTAGGCGTCCCCTCCACTCATTGTACAAGTGCTTGACGCAGAACTGCATAGAGCCGAGATGAACTGGAACATGGGGTGCATTGGCTACAAGACCACCATCAGGCGAGAAAATAGCACATGAGAAATCGAGACGCTCTTTGATGTTGGTAGAGACAGATGTCTTTTGCAAGGTGCGACCCATCTGCTCGGCAATACTCATGAAGCGATGTCCAAAGATGGATAGCTGTATAGGGCTCACTGTTTGCCCCAATTTCGGCAAAACTTGATGTTGGACTTCTCCCTTAGCATTCTCATTCTGTCGGAGCTCAATGAGGACCGTGGTGTCGAGGATGATGGCTGTAGCACTAGGTTTGACTAGAATGGTCTGTGTATCATCGAGAATCAGAGTGGGACCAGGAATCCTAACGCCGGGAGAAAGATTTGTGAGGATGAAAAGAGAAGTGTCAACATATCCAACCTCGGCATCGAAGCAGACTCGGACAATGGACGTAGGAGTAGGTAGAGCAACCTTGAGGTCAGCAACTTTCTGAAGCTGCTTGAAGGGGGACCTCTCCTTATGCTCCGAGATGGCGCCGATGCTGCGGACGCGGTAGTCGTCAATGAGGATCTTCTTCTCAGGAAACGTGAATCCAAATTCACGCAAGTGCTTCTCCTCGAACAAGGTCTTGAAACTAGCAAGATTCTCCGAAGCCTCTTGCATGACCATGAAGCTTGAATTAGAACCCTCGTATCTCATATTTAGATACACTTCTAATCGAATGCGTGAGGCGTCAATTTTTTGATCCAGCAAATGCTTGCTCGCCTTAGCTGACATGTCGGTGAGCGCCGTGCTAATGGCTTCGAAATTCTCCGATTTGAACTGAATGGCTGCTGGCCTTTGAACCTCATGCACAAGATCGGCGAGGGAAAGACCGTACGCCGAGAGGATCGAAGAGTGCTTATGAATGACGATCTCGGATATGGATAATGCACTGGCAACGTCACAGGCATGCTGCCCTCCTGCACCACCAAAGCAAGACAAAATGTGCTCAGAGGTGTCATACCCTCGAGCCTCAGTAAGTGCGCGAATTGGGCGAGCCATAACCTCCGAAGCGACTTGAAGAAAGCCTAAAGCTACTTGTTGGGAAGTAAGTAGAGACCTATCGTTAGCCTTGTTGTCGGCATTGATCTCCTCAGTCAGCTCCGCAAACTTCTCGGCCACGATCCCTGTGCCTAGGGGCTGATCCTCGTTTGGACCAAAGATCTTAGGAAAGTGCTCCGGTATGATACGTCCCAGGAACAAATTAGCATCTGTGATAGTTAGAGGACCACCCTTTCGATAGCAGGCTGGTCCCGGATGTGCGCCCGCGGACTCAGGGCCTACTGCGAAGAGACCGTTGCGCCAGAAAAGGCGGGATCCACCTCCCGCAGCGACACTATCATTAACAACCAATTATTAAAGGGAAAACACTTGGATCAGGAAGCAGAAAGGGTTGACGTACGTAATGATGTCAAGCTGAGGCGACTGGATTGATACTCCAGCGGTCGTGGTCTCAAATACGTGCTCATATGTCCCCGCAAACCGCGAACAATCAGTTGAAGTGCCGCCCATATCAAATCCAATGACAGCCTTTTTTCTATCAGCGTCCCATGATGTCTCAGCGTAACCGACGACTCCACCGGCTGGCCCAGAGAGAATGCTCTTAAGACCACTGAAGGAGCGGAAGTTAACAAGACCGCCATCTGACTGCATGAAGTCGCAACGGAGACCTTCAGCTGCGAAGCCACCCTCAAAATTAGCTGAGATGGCGTCGATGTATGACTTGATTATGGGTGTCAAGTATGCATCGGCAGTCGCCGACATTCCCCGTGGAACTGCTTTGATCATAGGCTGTAGGGCTGCGGATTCGACCACGGAGAATCCCATATCCCTTGCCACAGCACCAACCTGCCGTTCATGGTACGGATACAAATAAGAGTGAAGGAAGATGATGGATAAGGACCGATACTCCAAGTCCCATAATCTCTGTAGCGACTCGCGGACTGCGACTAGGTCTGGTTTGCGGAGGATCCTGATCACTTCTCCAGTGAGAGCGACATGAAGCGCAGGATCGCTTGAGATGTCAATGTACTCTGGGTAGGGGTTCTCGGAGTAGCCTTCTAATGTAATGCGCTCATCCACCTCGACCACATCCTGAAATAGCAGCTCCGGCGTAGCAACTGTCAAGTCGAAGATTTTGGGGCGAGACTGGTTGCTGATGCGCAAAAGGTCTTTGAAGCCTTGAGTCACAAGAACCGCTGACCTCGCACCTTTCCTCTCTAGCAGGGCATTTGTACCGACGGTTGTGCCCATACGGATGCGTTCAATTGGCGCGGTGTTCAGTGGTTGGCCACGTGGATGAGGCTCGCCGGTCACGATCTCTAGAACACGGCGAACACCCTCGGTTGGAGCATCGCTGTAGTTTGCAGGGTCTACAGACAAGACCTTGAGAACGATGTCTTTTTTTCCTGGTACTGAGGCGTAAACATCTGTAAAAGTGCCACCCCTGTCAATGGAAATCTGGACCCCTGTCATGGTGTTGTGAGGATGAGAGGGGATCGATTTTATTTGGTAATGTGGCGGCTTGTAGCTTATAGTAGATCACTGAGGACTAGAAGAATAACAATGATATTTCATCCAGATTGTCAAGCCCTCACTCCCATTTTTAACTTGCACGTCCGTCTACGCTCATGGTGATTTGAATATGAGGCTAAGAAGGACCGTGGGGCTATGCAGTATGGGTTAGACTCAGAACCAACGGTTCTGTATAGTTGGGGCCACTGGACGCATGTTGGTGCGTGATGGATTATCTTCGGGCTTTGTGGAGCGAGTACGAAGTGCTGAGGTGGCGGGGCGGCCTCGGGCTTCCGTCTCCGCCCCTCCAAACTCTCCGCTGATAACCAGCTAGAACGGAAGGTTCGATAAAGATCCTACAGCCAATAGCTTGTTGCTCAATGGCAGCGGAAATGGCTGCGGCAGTGTAAGCGGCTCATGTTAAGCTTGAGTCCGTTCGGCATTCCGATAGATGAGACATCAGAAAAAGCAAAGATATGAGACGCAGCTTTAAGAGCGTTCATTGATGATCCTGGGTGATGGCATTTAAATGTTTTTTCGGTTGCATCGTCGCCCTTCATTCATTCCTCTCATCCTTTTCATCTCAGCATCCTCCCCTTGGGATTTACTTCATTCTTTTCTAGACGACTATTTAACATTCACTTCCCCTCATTCTGATTTGTGCTTCTTCTCATAGAGATAGAATGACCACAACAGTCATCACCGTACAGGATGTTGCAATCTCGCTAGTGGCCTCAGAAAAGACCAAAGATTTGGAGCTGAAGACAGGTCTGAAGGCTCGACTTGCAGCCCGCAACGGCACATACACCAAGTCTACCTCTGGCCTAGCACCATCGTACCTTCAGGCCAACCTCATAATCTTGCCCTCGAAATATGCAGATGATTTCAGAGACTTGTGTGCTCGCAATCCCGTTCCCTGTCCTCTGCTTGCCGAGTCGAAAGCCCCTGGAGATTTCACCAAGCTCAGATCATATCTTTCTGCTGTTTCAAGTGGTGATATGATCGCATCACAGCTAGACCTCCGGACCGACTGCCCGAATTTCAATGTCTACCAGAATTCAAAGCTTACGAAGGAATGCATCCCAGATATTAAGGAGCAGTGGACGTCAGATCACGTTGCCTTTCTCATCGGGTGTAGCTACAGCTTCGAGTCAGCGCTCTCCGCTGCGGGCCTGGTTCCTAGACATTTTGTCATGGACCGTAACGTGCCCATGTACCGGTCAAACATCCCCCTCAACCCGGCCGGTGTCTTTGAGAAGGGTACCTACGTGGTATCCATGCGGCCTTACAAGAAGGCCGATATCCCCAAGATCCGCGCCATTACCCGCAAGTATCTCCCAACGCACGGAGAGTGCGTTGCCTGGGGGTGGGATGCTGTTGAAAGGCTTGGAATTAAGGATATTGACGTCCCGCAATGGGGGGATGCTCCTTTGACATTGGATGGAAAACCCTTGGGTACTGCAAAAGGAGATGAAGAGAATGTGCCCGTCTTCTGGGGATGTGGTGTCACTCCTCAAGAGGCGGTCATGAGCAGTAATTTGGAGGGCACGATCATGGGTCATGCCCCGGGCCACATGCTAGTTCTCGATTGCAAAGAGGATGAAGTTTTGATATAGATTTTACTAGAGCATATACATGAAATAGATTACATCAGCTCGCAGAATAAATACACAAATAACTATCTTCAATCAAGGGACACCCTGCTCTGATCTTAGGTTATCCTGATCTTCTCTCGCAATGGTCACCATTTTAAACTTCATCTATATCGTACAGTGTAACTTCACATTGCGTCTATGTATATCACGATGATTTTATATTGACTCAAGAGGAGCATCTGCTCATGAAGCCAGATTGTTTCAATTGCGGTTTTCCATGTACCATTGTTGCGCGTGGGTTCTTGCAATACCTTCCACGGTCGTATTACTTCGACCACGCTAATTTTCCAATACCTCACGCCCTCTTTCTTTTGAATTCTTGCTACCGTGGGTCGGAAATCTTTGTTCAATTGAATGACCGCCAAAGAGCACACTTACACTTAGCTCGGCAAAGAGTTCAGCTCTCTCCATCAAAAAATGTGGAGATGGAATGTATGGGTATCATATAAGGCGCTTTGATGCCTTTAGATTCAGGAGAAAGTCTTTTGAACAGAAGAATGATTACTACTTAGTTTATATCGTAATCAAATCCAATGTGCAGTTCCATTCCTTGCATAATGCTGGTTGAGAAAATCATCTGTCACAAGAAACCCAAGGTCAGCACTAGTAGCGCTCTGTGCATCCATGGAGCCCCAGGCATCTCCGTTAAGGGGAGCTGCACCGGGATGTAGCATGTCCATGATGTCAAGTTCCAGCCCGTTTGTTTCCAACATCTGTTGACTTTCCGAATCTTTACCAGCCTGGATGCTACGAAGTATGCTATTTTTTATTTCTTGTATGCAGGGGAATACCCGCTGGATTGCCTCCATCGCTTCAAGTATTTGGGCGATGGGCCCCGCTATTTCTTTGTCGTTCCATGATGCCTTATCTATGTATCTTCGCATCATAACCACCTCAGCTGCTGTCGCTAAAGTTTGCACGAAGTCTAGTGGAAGTATATCAAAACGGTAGTATGACCCATAGCTTTTCAATAGTCGGAGTAGCGCAGACAGTGACTGGTAGCATATTTCGACATCTTCACTATTTATCATAGCCTCGTCAAGGTGCTGTCTGGGTGGCCGATATAAAATGATCATGGAAGTGTGGAAGAGCATATGAAGATGAAGCACATACGACGGCACTCGGCCTACAGTCCACTGATTCCAGTGTAGCATCTGAGGAAGTTCAGACAGCCATTTTACAAGCAGTAGATGCACCTGATGTGCTGCAGCAGCCGCCTCTGTCTCATCCGCAGCTTGTCGTCGCCGGTTCTGAAAGACTTCGACGATCATAGTGTGTGAAATCTTAGCAAGCTCGATTTGATGGATGAGAGAGGCCACACGAGGAATACCATCCTCGAACTTGAGAGGTGAAGTATTCTTGCAGATGTAGCGACGTAGTAAGTCCTCCCATTCCGGTGGGTACGGGATTCTAATTGTATCCCTCACGTCGGCTTCATAGGGGTACAGAGCAGGTGGACGCCCAAAGTACATGCTAAGCTGTTTATCCGCGGCGAATACAGCCCAATACACTCTTCGCAAAATCTCACGATCTACCGAAGACTCGGACTTACTAGCCGTCCAGTTATTTGGGTCAATGTGTAAGCCCATCTCGTGAGTAAGCCGAAAGGCCATGCCGCAGTATAGCCATCCCTTAGAGCTCCTTCCCTGGCCAATTTCGAGTTGCCCAAGGGCCATCAAAGTTTGGAGAATGGTGATGTCCGGGAGCTCAAGAGATTGCCATACTAGAGACTCGGCCTTCTTCGTAAAAATTGAAGATAATCGTCGATGTGAAGGATCTAATGAAATGAGAGACCCGATGGCGCAAATAGCGAACATGAGAGGGTCCGAATAGTAGGGGCCATCACCAGCGTCGTAATCTCTTAGAAACCACTCTCGGTAGATATACATGTGGAAAAAGTAGCAACTCTGGAAGAACGTTGCCATTAGCTTTCGGCATGTTTCATCTTTCGCGGAGAACGGGAATTGTAGATCTGGTACTGTGTTGCTGGTATTAGGTGACATGACCGGCGCTCCGGAACCTGGTGACTGATCGACTGCCCTGGGAAGAGGTGGAGGCGCCTCGGAGACATGCATTGGAAAGAGCGAAGTGCCACCGTAGAATTGTGTGGATTTCCTGGCAGTGAGCTTCCGCATACATCCTTCACGGGCTCTTGCCAGCACTAAATTCCCGGAATCCGAGGTGGAGTTGGGTAATTCCAGTTGATTAAATGGACTGGTTGCCGTAACACTATCTTGCTGATGCCGAGACTGTCGCAGAGACTGTATGATGGGAGCTGGATTTGGTGTTGGTGGTGGCGGTGGTGTAAATTGTCGTGGCGGCGAGGCCGATGAATGAGATTGAGATAAAGACGCGTTGGACAGCAGCGAGATCCTAGTCGCTTCATCGGCAGTAGCAAGCCTTTCAATAAAGCCCTGGAGGTTTTTCACGCGAACTTCCAGATCTTGAACATGTTTTTTCGAGGCAGGCCTTCAAGGACATCACGAAGCTATGTTAGCGATGGGACAATTGAACTAAGTTGGAGTGCATGTTCATACCGGGCCCTCTCTCCGTTACCAACAGTCAAACAATCTACACCAGCTATTCTACACTTAGAGCATGGCTTTCTCCTGTCACATTTGACCTAGAGGTTAGAAACATCAGCCCTCTGGTCGTCAATCTCCTTTCCCTTATCCCTTCGCATCGAGCTTGAGCGGGAAAAGGGACACTACCATACCATACCTTTCGCTTTCGGCACCGCTCACAACTACAGAATAAACATTAGCCTCTGGTGCTCCTGGTGCGTGAAAAGCGACGCATCACCCCAGAATCCTCATCTAGATCCTGGAGTATGCATATGCATGCCATATTCACGTGCACGTGCACAGGGTCGGGACCAAGAAAGAGTTTTGGGGTAACACCACTGCGGGAAGGATGTGAACATACGATATTATCACCACATCACCCACTGAGGATCTCTGGGCTGGCATCGCCTCAGCTGTAGGTAGCTGTGCAAGCGAAGAGTCCATGTTGACAGGAAAGATCGACCATGAGTTCGGCGTTCCCAAGTTTGCAGCTCGGCCCACCACAATGTCGGAGTGAGATGTTCAGTCTTGGAAAACGGATAGGAGACGTGTGTATACAGGGGCCCAACCCGGAATCACGAGGCAGTGTAATGCAAAGAGAGGTGGTTGACGGAGGCCCGAGTTGTTCTATATGTTGAGGCCTCCGTTCCGATGGAGCGGGGTGCGAGAGCCGTTATCGGACCTATCTCAAAAGCAGTAAAGAACCCTTAACTCGATAACCACTGGCCACTTTTGTGGACACTAATACTGCTCGCACGTGCCAGCATGCAAAGTAATCTAAGGGCCTAACGTCTTATCACGGAGTCGGCGGTCCGCGTCCGTCATCACGCTGATATCAGCTCTTTGACCAATTTTTAGGGCGACAAAAGCTCGCCGTCGCAAAATGGATTTTCCCCGTTATGGATGTGTGTAGATGCCAGAACCACTCGCCCTCCTTTCCCCAGATTTTAACTTGTTTGAAAGCATACATGTTATCTTGAACGTTGTGAGAGGCACCGCATAGCGCGGATAGTTATCGTATCGACCAGGGGTATGTGCTACATTTTGAGCTGACTCCTGGTTTGTCCTTTCCCTTGGACAGCCTAATCCCATGCACACCCTTAGTAGACGTAGTCCGTCTGTACAGGCAAGGGTACATAAGTTTCTGTTCTTTCTGTGCATCTTTCTGTCCCGTGGCAGACTCGTACTAACTCACGGTCTTTTGCTGAGTTTGACGACCAGACTTAGCATCAATTGATAATACTACACCTCATCCTTTCATGATGGCAGTCGAGCAGACAATCGATGATCCTCCCATGAAACCTACCACTGGCAACGGGGAGCTCGATCCCACCAAATACAATCTGGTCACCGAAGAAGCCAACGAGAAGGGTTCGATTCAGGACGGCCATGGAGCTGAGATTCATGTTGATCCTGTCATCGAGAAGAAGGTACTTCGCCGTCTCGACAAGCGGTTTGCACCACTATTTTGCGCGCTGTACTTCTTTGGTAGGTAGCGGTGATACCCAGCTCCCTGAGATACTCAAAATCTTCTATAGTAGGGCATAAGAGGAGTGCTGACATGCCCATCCTCTAGCCTATCTCGACCGGAGCAACATTGGCAATGCTGCTATTGCAGGTCTCACCGAGCAACTCGATCTTTCAGGAGCACAGTTCAGTACTGTTGTTAGCACCTTCTTCGCCACTTATGTTGTGTTCATGGTTCCCTTCGTCCTAGCCATACGTGGGCTCAAAGTTCACAGAGCAATTGCCGCTATGGCCTTTGCGTGGTCTATCGTTACCATCGGAACTGCCTTTGTCAAGAACTATGGTGCACTCCTTGCGTGCCGTCTGATTCTCGGCATTTGCGAGTCTGGCTTCTTCCCATGCATTAGCCTGTACATCACCATGGTATACAACCGAGAGGAACAGGGTATGCGCTTCGCCTATCTATTCGCTGCCACTGCATTTAGTGGCATGTTTGGTGGATTGGTAGCCACAGGCATCATCGAAATCGGAGCTGTTGGTGGCCTTCAAGCTTGGTCCTGGCTCTACATAATAGAAGGACTAGCCTCCTTAATTATAGTACCATGGGCATGGTATGGGCTTCCTGAGTCGCCCTCGAAGGCTAAATTCTGGACACCTGAGCAGCGCGAGACTATGGAGATGCGTGATCTCAAACGTCAAGAATACATGGGCGCGAATCAATTCGAGTGGTCGCAAGTCATATCCGCTCTCTGCACCTGGAGAATGTGGACTGGGTAAGTGATTAGTACCCAGAGCAAGGAATGAACTTATTACTGACTTCTCCTCCAGAGCTCTTATCCAGTTCTTTCAAGATGTGATTCTTTATGGCTTTAGTAGCTTCCTACCCTCGATTCTTCGGAACGGTCTAGGTTTCGGCCGAATGGAAGCTCAGTATCTCAGTGTCCCGGTATATCTACTTGGTGGTATCTCATTCTTCGCTGCGGCAAGAATAGGTGACAAGTATCGTTTCCGTGGTTCCGTTCTCTTCATGCTCGACATATTTGCCGTTATTGGTTATGCTATCCTCCTGACTGTTAAGGACTCGGCCGTTCAGTACTTTGCCTGTTTCTTGATTGCTATTCGTAAGCCATATCACAGACTTATATTTTACTAACAGTACAATGGAAAAAAGCTAACCACATGAAGCACTTTACAATGGCCCCGGTGTTAACGAGACTTGGATTGTCAACAATACAGCTCCTCATTATCGCCGCGCCACTTTCCTCGGTGTCTCTCAAGCTATTGGCAATGTTGCTGGTGTTGTTGCTGGACAGGTGAGCTCAAATATCCTTCGGTTCATCGTTAAAAGCAGATATACTAAACAGTCTATTTTCTGTCCTCAGGTCTACCGCTCAGCCCCCTACAGACTTGGCCATTGGTGCTCTCTTGGTTCCATCATCATTTCCATGATTCTGATCGCCGTTCAGCTGGTATACTTCAAGTCTGAGAACAATAAGAAGGACCAAATTGCCAGTGGCAAGCGCCCGGACGACCGTACCAAAACCGCCGGAGAGCATAACCTCGAGTTTCGATATGTATACTAAGGTCGAGCGAATAGATAGCATGTCGAGAAGATTTGACATATAAACTATGGTTCATATCAGCTGTCGAACGATAGCTGTGTTAGGAAAACTTACCTAGAGTAGTAATAGTTTCAATATGAAAATTCGAGCATTCATAAACGTGTTCCTAGTTAATCAATAAATTAGCCTGCAACCATCTCCTGTTTTTACCTAAATTGTTTAACTAGCTGATTAGCGAGTCCTTATGTATATTATAGCATCGCTTAAATCGCTTGAATTTTTTTCCCTCTGTTTACTATATAGCGTAT